TGTGTGTTACAGGTGTTACACATGCTCTGACAGCTGTTTGATGTGTGTGTGTGTGTTACACATGCTCTAACAGCTGTTTGATGTGTGTGTTACAGGTGTTACACATGCTCTGACAGCTGTTTGATGTGTGTGTGTGTGTGTGTGTGTGTGTGTGTTACACATGCTCTAACAGCTGTTTGATGTGTGTGTGTGTGTTACACATGCTCTAACAGCTGTTTGATGTGTGTGTGTGTGTTACACATGCTCTAACAGCTGTTTGATGTGTGTGTGTTACAGGTGTTACACATGCTCTGACAGCTGTTTGATGTGTGTGTGTTACAGGTGTTACACATGCTCTAACAGCTGTTTGATGTGTGTGTGTTACAGGTGTTACACATGCTCTAACAGCTGTTTGATGTGTGTGTTACAGGTGTTACACATGCTCTGACAGCTGTTTGATGTGTGTGTGTTACAGGTGTTACACATGCTCTGACAGCTGTTTGATGTGTGTGTGTTACAGGTGTTACACATGCTCTGACAGCTGTTTGATGTGTGTGTGTTACAGGTGTTACACATGCTCTAACAGCTGTTTGATGTGTGTGTTACAGGTGTTACACATGCTCTGACAGCTGTTTGATGTGTGTGTGTGTGTGTGTGTGTGTGTGTGTGTGTGTGTGTGTGTGTTACACATGCTCTAACAGCTGTTTGATGTGTGTGTGTGTGTTACACATGCTCTAACAGCTGTTTGATGTGTGTGTGTTACAGGTGTTACACATGCTCTGACAGCTGTTTGATGTGTGTGTGTTACAGGTGTTACACATGCTCTGACAGCTGTTTGATGTGTGTGTGTGTGTGTGTGTGTGTGTTACACATGCTCTGACAGCTGTTTGATGTGTGTGTGTTACAGGTGTTACACATGCTCTGACAGCTGTTTGATGTGTGTGTGTTACAGGTGTTACACATGCTCTAACAGCTGTTTGATGTGTGTGTGTGTGTTACACATGCCCTAACAGCTGTTTGATGTGTGTGTGTGTGTGTGTGTGTTACACATGCTCTGACAGCTGTTTGATGTGTGTGTGTGTGTGTGTTACACATGCTCTAACAGCTGTTTGATGTGTGTGTGTGTGTTACACATGCCCTAACAGCTGTTTGATGTGTGTGTGTGTGTGTGTGTTACACATGCTCTGACAGCTGTTTGATGTGTGTGTGTGTGTTACTGTTACACATGCTCTAACAGCTGTTTGATGTGTGTGTTACAGGTGTTACACATGCTCTGACAGCTGTTTGATGTGTGTGTGTGTGTGTGTTACACATGCTCTAACAGCTGTTTGATGTGTGTGTTACAGGTGTTACAGATGCGCTTAAGCTGGCCGGACGTGGGATCATATTCCTGGGCATCTGCACATGGCTGATTTACATGTTACCGAGGCTGAAATCTTTCTTCTTTCCAGTATGTCAAGAGCTCCCAGACAGTACGACCATTTTTATTCTTGTTTAATTGTGTAGTTTTGTATTTGGTGTAACTGTAATGGCTTATTTGTAATGTAATGCTTTGAATATGCATGTAATGTAAAATAATGCATGTAATGGTTTGTTATCTTGCAGGCCCACTGCAAGACTCCGACAGACTGGGACAAGAGGAAGCTAGAAGAATTCAACAACATCAACACAATGACAAGGTTCAACACAACCTCTCTGCCTTTAAAAGCTAAGAAATGTTCCAATGTAGCTCAGTCAATATGTTATGAATATATTCTAACAAGAAATATGCTGTTTCTCATATCACGAAGATGACTGATTACTCTGAAAGAGTGTTAAAGCCGAGACAGAACTCGTTGCTCCAGCGGAAAACGGAGCGGCACCATAGCATGGCAGGAGAGGCCTGGAGACTGACCCAGGGGTTTCCAGTCGGGGTGAGCAAACTCACACTCATCATCACTAGTGCCACATGCAGCAGGACGCCAAATGTGTTATTCTGGGGGGGTTTTACAATTACAAATAAGTCAAGTCATTATACAATACAGACTATACAATCAGCTTTACAGGGATAAACAGGAGAATAATGATCAATGATGCAAACAGAGTTCAGTTCTGCTGTAAAAGACAATAGAGTCATTGATCAGCTGAAGTCAGTTCAGTGTTGATTCAGTTCTGTTCAATAACTGTGTAAAGATCATCAATTATGAAATCAGTTCAATTGAACTATAAAGCAGCTCTGCAGAAAACATAGTGTCGTTATTCATCAGCAAATCTAGAATCTAGAGATGGTGCAGGGGTTCTCAACTCTGGCCCTCGTCCCGAGTCACTCACTGATCCCCACACACACACACACACACACACACAGAGCTGTAGAAAGCTACAGGCAGAGATGAGTTTGATCAGGGTTAGAGGTCGTCTCTGCAGGACAGTGGATCTCGAGGGCCAGAGCTGATATAATCAGTACAATTGATGATTTTAGCAACACAATCTTAGCATCTTTTGTGTACTGAATCCAGGAGCTATCTTCATTACAAAGTTATTAAACTAAATTAATAGTACTTATTAGTAGCAGTAATGGTGGTTATGCACAACACACTTCTGTATTGTGTAAAACAGGTCTCATCACTTCCTGTTCAGGTCATGTGTTCAGGTTCAGGAATGTGCTTCGTTTAGAGCCGTTTTACTCGAGATGCCTTCAAAGGAGCTGCCAGAGATAAGCTCCACCGCATGTGCAGATTGATATCTAAAGGTTTCACTAACATTTAGATATTTACATTGAATTAAATAGCAAACAATAAAAATAACTAGCTAGTTTAGCAATTACCTTAAGAGTCCATAGATCTCGCCATCAGTTGATACCGCTGTTAACACTTTCCCAGACGAGCGGATGTGATGAGATCTGCTTTCCTGTTTGTTCATGTGGTGTTCAGCATAAAGCCTATTAATAGCGATCAGGGCTGACTACAAATAGAGCATTTCTATCATGGCATTGGTAAGATTGCATCTTATTCGGAGGCTAAAACACTTTGGTGTGAGCAAAAATATCGTAGAGATGGTTTATAAGAATCTTGTAGAGAGAGAGTAATATGACTGTGGTATGCAGTTCTGACTGTTAAATCAAAGCAGAAATTGTCTAGGGTGGTTAACGTAGCTTGCGCAATTGTAGGTAACACATAAAGACAACTGAATGAGATATATTTATTAAAAGTTAAACAAAAAGCATGGGTTATTATAGAGGATTCTTCTCATCCCTTACGCTCTGTGCTCTAACTCTTCAGTTGCTACCATCAAGGAGACGGTTTAGACAACCTAGACGAGTACAAATGTGTACCAGATGTCATTTGTGCCAACTACTATTCCAATTTTAAGTGTTGAGAAGATATGAATATGAGTAGGGGTGGATATGTAGGCTATGCATAGGTTTACTGTTTTATTTTATGTATATTGTTATGTTTGTGTTGGTGTCCTTGTGTGTGGTGTATAGTGAAGCCAAAGACAAATTTTCACTTGTGGACAATAAAGGAACTAAACTAAACTAATGCTTAGTTGGGGACATTAATTTAATATTCAGCAATATTATTGATCTGTCTGCATTGACACCATTATATGAGAGCTGAACTGAGCTGGACGATGACATCACGGTTTTATATGAACTAAATTAATAACTTTTTCACAACAGAAATGAACCATCACTGAACTTACTTAAGCTGGACTCAAGTGGACACAAACTTTGTTGCATTATTGTCCTGTTTTCTCTGTAAAGCTGTTGAAACAGCCTGTGTTGTAAAGGTGCCTTGACTGGACTGAGAGCACTTGTAACTGCATGCTGTGGTTCAGGGGGAGGAGGATCAGCTGTGTCCTGATGTGGCTGTAGACGAGAGCGCTAACCAGGGAGCGAGGAGGAGACGCACGCTGCTGCAGACTGTGACTCCAGATCCTGCGCGGACACACACGACACACACGCTCAAGCAGAAGAAGGTGGGAAGCACTGCGCTGTGCTCTGTGAATGATGCTCTAAAGGAGCCCTTAAAGCTACACTGTGTAACTTTTTTAGTTTATTCTTAGCTAAAAACACTTAGTTCTTTCAAAAATATATGTGCTCATTAATGTATATTTACTTCGTTCAAGTAATAAAGTATTCTCGTGAGTGTATAATGTGCCATTGAAAATACATACGGGTGAGGGGTTCTAATGTCGGTCGCCATGTTGCCCCTCCATCTTGAAAGTACATTAGCCAAAGAGGGACATACCCGTTAATTCAAGCTTCGCCTTTCGCGTTTTAACACTCGATGGCACCGTGTCGAATGTCATATAAATAACCTATATGTTACCTGACAAATTAAATTACTGCAAATTATAATAGTTTTCTAAAATAACCTCATCACTTGAAGGAACACTCATGGACGAGGTTGCACTGGAAGCCATGTTAATCTTGGACTACATTGGCCACCGTAGGAGTTAAAACGAAATCGGAATTGAGAGGAACAGAAACTAATATTCACTGGATGGTCATATACCTTTTCACCGCTAGATGGGGGTAAAAATCACACAGTGTAGCTTTAAGCACAGGTGTAAATGTGGGTCAGAAACTTACATGGGCCTGTGTGGAAGAAATGGGTTTGGTAACACTTTACAATAAGGTTAAGTAATTAACATTAGTTAAAGCTACAATATGTTATTTTCTCGCCGCTAGGGGTCGCTAACCTCTTACAATAACACAGGCGTAGGTTGATGACGCAGTGATAAGCGGAATGATGGGACTTGTCGTCATGCTGATCTAATAATGTTTATGGATGAGTGAATACACTGATGTTGTTATCATGACTGTGGTGTGAAGCGCGAGTGCTAATGAGAGACAGATCTCAGCGCCACACGCGAGTCTCGCGGATATAAAGGAATAAGGACTTAATTCTAATTTTACCGAACTACACAAGTGCTTATTACTACTCACACAGGTCAGTTTATTAGACGAATTAAACTTGAGGAAATTCTGTTTCACTTGGTCTACACTATCACACTAAACCGTGAAACATTTAGGATAAGGTAAGTACACAATTGACAGAAATATATAACACTGTGCAACTGGTTTTTGGATATTTTGATACAAAATTCTTACATATTGTACCTTTAACTTCATTAGCTAGCATGAACTAATAATGCACTTCACTTATACAGCATTTATTAATCTTTGTTAATGTTATTTTCTTTATTAAAATCGTGTTAACATTAGTTAATGCACTGTGAACTAACATGAGCAGCTTTATTTGTATTAATAACAAAGATTAACAAATACAGCAACAAATGGTTATTGCTCATGGTTAGTTCATGTTAGTTAATACACTAATGAACCTTATTGTAAAGTGCTACCATGTGTCTTCTCTCCATTAAAGGTCATAGTTTTGCCGGACGAGCCGCCAGAGGACGCTGAGGGGGTGAGTGGACAGCACCTGATCCTGAGGAGTGAAGCCGCATGATATCTGGCACTGCCTCCTGTGTTTAGTTACATCTCTGCTCTAATGCACTGACAGGTTGTAAGAATAGCTGTAAGATGTCCCAGCAGAAGAACCATCCACCGGCGGTTCCTCAAGACCTGGAGCTCGACGGTGAGTCCTCCCTCATTCCTGCCGTCTGCTTTGCCTAGATGACACGTGACATTCCCTTCTCCTGATCATTAGCTCCTCCTGGACTGGATGATGAAGTCCGGCTATCCTCCCGCTCTCTACACGCTGTGCTCGTCCTTCCCGAGGGAACGCCTGCGCACGGCTGAGGGCCTGAGCCTGGAGGAGGCTGGGATCCTCTCACACACACTGCTGCACGTGGAGGAGAGCGAGCCGGCGCTCCCCTGACAGCACTCGGCTGCTCGAACACTGTACGGGACTGGGTGATGCGGTCACACCAGCCAACGGGACCGGAGATAGTATAGTTTGTTAATGTTCAAGAAGGGATTTGTATGGCAGACTCTGCGCTTCCAATGGTGTATGGATGAATCTTAGTTAGTCTGATCTAAGTTTTTCTATAATACATGAGTAATCCTGCCAAGATACTATGTTTATTAAATCAGCAAAAAAAGGGCAATGAAACAAATGCTACTTTGCTGTATAAATACATTCTTTTCTTTGATATTTTGAGGATTTCATGGGTAGTTTTCATACTAAGCTGCAGACTGTTACGCTTGTCTTGTTTTATCTAGTATCTGAATGTTCATATACTAAAAAGTTTAAAGTTCATACAATTTTGACTGTATCTTTGATCAAATAAATGCAGGTGTGCATAAGAGACTTTTTCAAAAACATTCAATGTTTTTCTTTGTAATCTTTCTCCAAAATGTATCAACTTGCCCGACTCTGAGACAACTTTTGCTTTGTTTGGCTAATGTCACAAGACTATAACAGTCGTCTCGGTTTAGTCATGGGTTGTAGATGCTGCAGCCTTTCTAAAACCACATAAAAAACATGTGGTTATGTATTTATATAATGGTTATGTGACGTTCTGGACAGCGACTTTGCCCTTCAACCCCCAAGGGAACCAAAGAATCCGATCAAAGCACTACTGAGTGATGAAATGTTTGCTTATTTTCTCAGAAAACATGGATATTTCAGACCATCTGTGAATGGAGAAAGAGTGTAGTTTCAAAGCTTGAACATCATCCCAGTATAGAAAACAAAAACACGTCATGATCCAGTCAATCCTTGACGGAAACTACAAAAATAAAACGCTTTCAGTAAAGAAAATTGTTGTCAGTAAAGACAACAATCCCTTAAATGTCAATAAAAGCACTACTAGTGTGTGGTTTTGGAGTAGCTTGCGATTAAAAGTACTTTATTAGCTCAAATACACCAAAGAAGAGGCTATCACTTATTAACAAATACACAGAAGACAGGAAACACAAAAGAAAAGAAAATGGTAAGATTAGACAAAGAGGAACAGTCAGATAAAGTCCATGTACACGTGTGTGTGTGTGTGTGTGTGTGTGTGTGTTCACTCCCAGAACGGAAGAGGCACGTCCTTCGGTTTCGACATTCCTTCCCGATAGGATTTGTGTGTGTGTGTGTGTGTTGTTTTTTGGGTGAATACAGGAGGAAAGAATGTCAGCTTGTGCACTTGTATAAAATGTTACCGTTTTTCACATGCCTGGCATTGCCATGTTTTTTCCAGTGATACTGTAAGAGAGAAAGCTAGTCACTTGCTTGTTTTTTTACTCAGAGTAATGTACAATTCAAGAAGGAAGGGAACATCTCTATTCATTGTATACAGCAGGCAATTTGCACTATATGCTAAAACGAGACACTTTGTAGCAGTACTGAGACAGAGCGATCGGATTTGGGCATTAAATGCTTGTATGGCACATTTTGGTCCGTGTTAGTGTTGCGTCAGAACATCTCCCCTGTTTATATACACAATAGATGTATGCGTGTCTGGAATTGTCCTAATGTTTGGTGTTGCGCTGGCTTATAGGAAGTAGTCGGGGGTGCGGCGGGTGACGTGGGGCTCTCCGCGTCGAGGAGCGGGGTCAAACTGAAGACTGGGCGAGAGAGGAAAACACAGATCAAATCAATCTCAGGACAACCTGTCAATCCAAAACCTCAACAAGAAAGAAAGAACATGTTGCAGAATGAAAAACATGAAGCATCATTTTAGGATTACTACGATTTTTTTGTTCGGCATTGTGACATTTTAATAGCAATAAACACATTGCTGTAATATTTTCCCATTATTCTCAATGGCGATGGTTATTAGAGTCATTATTGCAAGTCGTTTTTTCTTACTTTCTCCTATCCCGGTTTAATATTCAGTGAGACATTTGAAGGCTGATTTCCCTGAAGCGTCCAACACTGGTGCTATGAAAACACTGCTCCGTTTATCTGAACTTCTCAACACGGTAACACTACCTCAATATGGTTTAAGTCAAGTCATCATTTATATAGCGCTTTTAACAATGGAGATTTTAAGTGTCCCTATTATTTTAAAGGCTCCTAACTTTGTTTTGCAAACATGCAAAGAACACTTTTATTTTCTCCTAATATACATTGCAGCATCAGCTCGTCGATCAACGGTTCGATCAAGGATTCATTATCTTTAAACCCTTTCTGAAAGGGTCAGACCCTTTCTCGGTCAGACAGCGCAGTCTGCTGTGATTGGTCGATCGCTTACAGCACTTGTCGGAAACTAAACTCTCATTACCATATCTGAACTTCAGCTCTGGACCTTCTCCAGCGCTTGATGCACAATGGGTCTCATTCATGAAACATTCGTAAATATAAGAGTTAATATGCGAGTGATTTGCCCGTAAAGAGACCTTCCCGAAAACTCATCTCCTGATTCACAAATACTTCGTAAACGTCAGATGTGATAGTGAAATGTGTGTGTGTGTTAATGAATTCCAATCAGTCGTAAATGGGACGCGCGTGCACGTTCATTCTCAATTACCATAAATCCCGCCCATTAAATCCGACTGACAACTATAATATGGGCATCATATTATGACACCAAACGAAGGATTTCAACATGTCTTCTCAAAAGCGAATGAAAAAGAAAAATTTCTCAGATGGAGAAATCGAAGTTTTATTATCAGAAGTTCATTCAAAACATTACATTTTATTTTCAAGCGTACATAGTGGCGTATCGGGTCCTAAAAAAAAAGCAAGCTTGGCAGCATATTACAGATGCAGTTACTGGAGTTTCATCTGTTAATCGAACAATCCCAGAAGTGAGAAGAAAATGGTTCGACATTAAGCTTGAGAGCAAAAAACGAATTAGTTCACTTCGGAAAAATAGTATTCAAACTGGAGAAGGACCACCATCGCAGATGCTATTACTGGCTCTCATAATAAGAAAAACCGTATGTAATTACTATATATAACATTTTTTCAAAATGCTGTGCAAATATGTACCCGATTAAGGTGAATTAAAATGCAGCCTTAGTTATTAATGAGCAAAACGTTCGGATGTTAAACTCACTATTTACGCGTGGCTGGAGCAGGTGTAGATTTCTTTCGCACCAACTCACATTTGGAAAATACGAACATTTTAATGAATCCGAAAATTTACGCCAGAACCACTTTACACACGATTTACACAAAAATTTGTTCTGCTCGTGTTTCATGAATGAGACCCAATGATACGAACCGTAACGATGGCGTCAGTTTTACCATATGAACTTCCGCAGAAGTGGATCCGCAGTGCTGGAAATCGTGTCTTCTCAACACGCCGCGTTCAGACACAACTACAGTGTTTGAGGGGGCAGGTCAAATGAGATGTTCATGGACAGCCAATGAAGACCACAGGTGGGATTATGCAGATTTGTTACAAACACACACAGACGTGCTACAGATGCGAGACTGGAATTACTGACGACCAGCTTCGGCAGTTCAGAAGCACTTCTTGTAGGAGACAATAACTTTATGCGTCAGACACTTTGATCTTCAAAACTTTGCCGACGGTACAGTCACAAATAACTATATTACAAGCTACATGAACGCTAGTACCTGAAAGGCATAATAGTGCACTTCAATAGCCACAATATGCAGATAATGCCACAAATGGAAAATCTTTATATTCCTAAAAACAGGCTTCATTTTCATTCTTGAAGTAAAACAATTGAAATATGGTTCAGACATGTTCTTGCCGTCACACTTTATAAGGGAGTACACATTTGAAAGATTATCATAAGTGTAACTTACAATGAATATTTAAGAGTATCGTCCAGCTCCATAATGGCTGCCTGGTTCCCGCAGCGATAGCAGTAGTTCGGCGCGCTGAAGATGGTGACGACGTTCCTATCATGACACCAGTTGTACCCCTGGGGGAAAACAAGCTGTTTTATCTGATCTGAACTGTTATTCCACTGAAGGGCTGTGAGGAGTTGAAGTGTGTATCTCACCTCCATGACCAGCTGATGTGCGCGGGACACCAGCGTCAGGCCGTTAGCGTGGTTGAAGGTCTCAGAAATGTCCTGTCCAAAGGTGTATCCCGCTCCTCGAGGAGAGATTCCCCAGCCACCACGATCATCAGGGTCCGACCACAGCAGGTCACACATGGGGCCCTGGAACACACACACACTGACTTACAGCCAATCCCCTCGAACCAGCGAGAGCCTTCATGAGAACCGGTGTTGTACAGATGCCATATATCTTAAACACACTGTAATGACTCTCGGCTTTCGCAAGCACAGCTGGTATCTTGGTTACTTCATCTGAAGAGCTAATAAAGTTGAAGAGAAGGTTCTACAGGTCCGGACAGCCACAAGAGTTCAGCTCAACATGAAGCTGATCTTGATAAGGGCAGACGAAAGCCCACAATGCACTGCAGGCGAGGCTGAATGAGCGTCAGCTGGCTCACAGCTGAACACACCGACCGGAGACACGTCTGGCCTGAGCATTTCAGTTATGACGACATTTCAAACCAGAACTAGCGAAGCGAGTCATTCGCAGCATTACGCAGTAGGGCTGGTATATTGACACAAATTTCACAATTCGATTCGATTTCGATTCACAAGCTTGCAATTCGATTCGATTCAATATTGATTATTTTGGATATCAGGTACAATACATGGCAAATTTTATCAAGGAAAACAAATCTCCTAACTAATGCTGTAAACTAGGGCTGCAACGATTAGTCGACGTTGTGGACAACGTCGACAATAAAAATTTGTCGACAAATATCTTTGTTGTCGAGTAGTCGTTTGATCTCACGTGACCTAATGTAAGGACCTGCAATATCGCGATTTGACCGCTACGGCGCTGTAGCGCTAGAGTGTAGTGCAGCCCTTACAAATGCTATTGCGGTAGAAGAAAACACAGCGCGAATTATGACAGGGCAAACGAATCCGAACTAGCAAGGTTTAGGTTTGGGAGAGTTTCACAAAACTTCAAATCAAGAATGCTGTCGTGTGCAATACATGCAAGGCGGAACTTGCTTTTCACGGGAGCACAACATGCATGTTGGAGTGCAAGAGGAAACATCCCGGCAAAAGAGGAGCCGGTGAGAAGTGAGTGTTCTCCAGCTGGAGCTTACTAACCAGCGGCAAATCTCTCTTTATTAGAGAATGCAATACTACTAATAATAGTAATAATATTATCAATAGTAATATAATTACAGTAATGTGATGACTTATTTTGCATAGAATAAAGCTTGATCGAGCTTAGGAGTCAGGGCTGTTTTTATTATTGTAACACTATTAGTATATTAGGTATTATTATAGTCTTATTACTTGCCTGTATTTTGTTCAATAATCATGCTGACTTACAAAACGAGATGTTATATCCTTCCTATGATATAGGAAGAATATCATGGCAGTTACTTTATCATACTATAAATTAAAAGGTGAATGAGAACGTCTCTGTCAGCTCAATTGTCATGTAAAAAAAGATTGTAATTTTATACTTATAATAATTGTTTGCAGATTAATATTTTACCATTCTTTGTGTCCTGAAGTAAATGTCCCTTTTTCTGTTTCAGTTCTAAGAAAAGCAGTGGGCCTATTAAACAATGCTTAGAGAGCATTTGTGTGTGATTTGAGTTGGACCGAAATCTGAAAACTTAAAGAGAATGACCTGTTTAGTTGGCTCAAAGTTCATTAAAACAACTATTTCAAAAGCTGAAGTGATTTTCTTTTTTTATATTATAGTTAGATAATATGTATAGAATATGTTAGATATGTATAACTCAATGTTTTAACTAATTGGAAAAGCTGAATAATCGTTCCAAACTTACTGATTAGTCTGCGAAATAATCGACGATTAGTCGATTAATCGTTCTAATAATCGTTAGATTAATCGATTATCAAAATAATCGTTTGTTGCAGCCCTACTGTAAACTATGGGAGTCAGTTGTAGCCTATAGGCTTCATTAGCAGACTATAATATTGGTAATTATATACTGATTTGTAGCTATACAAACACTTAAATTACACTTATTTATTTTTATAATAATAAAGTTATATGAAATATAAACATTTAAACGGTGGCTATCATAAAAAACTTGCCAGATTTATTCAAACATGCATTAAATAATGAAGAACATTAAAAATTATAATGAATATGTAATATGGTGCATATATTTAGAAAAATGCTCCTCTCTAGAGTTAATTTTTCTAGCTGACTAACGAGTTTATGGTGGTCACTGGATATGGTTTTTCTGAGGTAAATGTGACGTTACATGACGCTGTTTTACTGACGTCTTTCCACGGTTGAAACACTGATTGAGCGATTCCACGTTACATGATACGGATGTCGATAAGTTGTACTCTCTTTTAACACACTTTCAGACGCTCATTCATGTTTATTTGGCGCTGTAACTGGTATTATTAAGGCGGAAGAGGAGATCATGTGCTGCTGCTTCTCTTGAGCTGAGCCAGAGCGATCTCACGCCATGTTTTCGAATTTCGCAAGAAAATGGACGAACTTAGAAATCTGAGACTTTGTTTCATATCAATAGTAACAAAGCATAAAGATTATTGCGATTTATTGAGCAATGTTCCATTCATCCATCAACTGAAAAAGCCTAATCGATTCTTGGGATTTAAGAATAGATATCGGTTCGTAAAAATGAGAATCGATTAAAATCGAGAAATCGTTATGTTTTACCCAGCCCTATTACACAGTGTTTCTGCTTCTGATGAACTGGCCATACGGGTGGGAAAATAGTCTGATCTTAAGATTCAATTGGATTAGTTCAGAGAGTATAATCTGCAGCAGTTTCCCAGTAAAACAGTCTCAGGACACAGAGAGGAAATCTAGGCTGGTGTCTATTTATACACGCAACTAACAATATACACACTGTCAACTAGTGCGGTGTCATGCGTTCAGTGTGAACAGCCCTCTATTCACATTTCTCTTCATGCAAACATAAATCACGTGAGCCGACTCACTACTCTATTTTAATTTAAATAACATAAAAAATTAAATAATAAATATATCAGTTCTGCTGTTGTTCATCAATACCAGTAATGTTGTACAATGAGGACGTTATGATGTCACTGGAAGGAGAGTCCTCAGCGTCTTAAAGGGATAGTTCACTTTGAAATAAATTTTTGGTATGTTTTAGCTTACCTCAAGGGCATCCAAGATGTAGGTGTCTTTGTGTCCACAGTATTTTCAATTTTGATATTTTTAGGTCAAACCGTTCTTGTCTGTCAGTCATATAATGCAGGTCTATGGTCACCACCTCAAAGAGCAGCACAGAGAAGTCCAAATTAAACATGATTTAATGACTCGTAAATGTAAGTACACATTGATGGCCTAAGACACAAAACGAGCGGTTTGTGAGAGAAAACCAACAGTATTTATATCGTTTTTACCTCTTGTAAACACAGCCACGTCCAAGTGATCTGAGGGCGCCGGCGCATCGGTCTTTTCCGGAAAGCGCTGGAAGTGATCTCTCGCGCGTGTACGTCACTCATTGTTTACACAGAGCAGAGATTGTAGGTAAGACGGCTAATTAAAAGGGTACTAATTTGCACTTATCCGGGATGTTTAAACCATCGTAAAAGAAAACAATTCCAAAAAAATACAAAATAAAACAATTGTATGAGTGACGTACACGCGCGAGAGATCACTCCCGGCGCTTGCCGGAAAAGACGGAAGCGCCCGCGCCCTCAGATCACTTGGACGTGGCTGTTTACAAGAGGTAAAAACGATATAAATACTGTTAGTTTTCTCACACAAACCGCTCGTTTCGTGTCTTAGGCCATCAATGTGTACTTACATTTACGAGTCATTAAATCATGTTTAATTTGGACTTCTCTGTGCTGCTCTTTGAGGTGGTGACCATAGACCTGCATTATATGACTGACAGACAAGAACGGTTTGACCTAAAAATATCAAAATTGAAAATACTGTGGACACAAAGACACCTACATCTTGGATGCCCTTGAGGTAAGCTAAAACATATCAAAAATTAAATCAGTGTGGACAGGCCAGACACACCAGTCTAGGGCTACATCAGATTTATTCAAATATATATAAATAATAATAATAATTTAATATTACTCTTATAATATTTCACTGTAAAACAATAAGTATAAAAAAAATATTTATAATAATAATACAAGAATATTAGACTGCAATTGTAAAATTTCACTAATAATATTTATGGTCGTCTTAATTTTCAAACGTTTATTTTCACGGAAAACCACAGGAAGCCCACAAATATGTGAAGATGGTCGTGTTCCCAGACGCAACGGTTCACAGTGTTTCTACGGCACAGACAGCCGGGTTTACTAAAGCCCATTTACCAGCAGTGAGTTAAGCCCTCTAAACATTTCCTCCTTCCTTCTCCCACACTTAATTCAACTAGAGAATATGTGCAGAATCATCAGGGCAACGGCAGAGCAGTTGTGAAACAACATCTCCCTCAGACTAAAACCTGAAACTTTTACACTAATGCTACAAACACTTAAAGTCAGTGTAAAGGCAATTCAGAGATTTGTTTCTAAACGCATTATAAATGTTAGAAATGTATTGCAGAAAACACATTACAAGGACTTTGAAGTTTGAACTATGTAGTTCTGAATTGTGGAGTTAGCCCGTAAAACAGTTTTTCAGCATTTTTTGTGGCCTGAAATCATGGCTCGATGACGCACTGTGGTTCGCCCACTCAAGCGGAAGTGCCTGTCATTACCGGTACTTACTACAGCCTACAAGCTATGCCTTCGTCATGTAAATGCATATTACCTGGTTGTGATAATTTACCAAAACAGCTCAGTCTCCTTACTTTAATGAATTAAGTGATATCAGGAAGAGGTGGATTTATTCAGTGAACACACCAGTCGCCTCTGCAGTGAACATTTTACACAGGAGAGTTTACAAACTTTCATCAGAGACAACTGGGACTCACTGAGACAATACTGCTTATTTTTGATAAATTATTTTAATTTACTTGGCGTTTTTTTTATCATTTAAATTTGGCTGGGTGGTTAATAGCACATTTTTAAGAACACATGTAATATTGCTTTACACAGACTTTAAGGAAACATCGAGTGATATTTCTTCAAGCGGTTATTAGCTCATGTTGTTTCCAGCTACGTCTTCTCTCTAAGATTAG